TTTGTGTGTATGGTGTGTGTGCATGTGTGTACATGTGCATGTGTGTGATGAGTATGCGTGTGCATTTGTGTGTGTGGCGAGTGTACATGTGTATTTGTGTGTGGTGTGTGCATGTGCGCGTGTGCATGTGCCTGTGTGGTGCTGTGCCAGCTTTCCCGAGGTGCTGGGTATACAGACTCCAGTCCACAGCTTGGACAGCAGGCACTTTAATCTCTGAGCCCTTGCTCTACTCCTTTTTACTTTTGTTTATTTTGCTTTTGCAAGGTTGAAACTTTTTGAAAAGAGCATTTATTGAACTTTGTCAAAATAGGTTTTGTACTTATGGGAAGTTTCATACATATGTAAAAGATGTCTTCTTATATGTAACTAGAGTTCTGCCTAGGCCAGACCTAGCAGAAGCAAAGTTATGAGAGGGTCAGTGCTATCTGCTCCCTCCAGTCACCCTTCACTATGATGACAGGGGCTTCACAGGGCTGGGCTGGGACGCGGGCCCCTAAACTCCTGTTCTTCTCCCTGCACCGCTGTGCACCCGGATGCACGACGTCTTGCAGTAGTCATTTCAGTGTTTGTTTCTTCATTTTTATGGATAAAAGTGGTGTCTGCATCCTAGTTAATGAGAGGGCTGATGGGACGAAAAGACTCAGCATCCAACTCTGAGGTGAAAACACACAGGATTGGGATTTCCACGGATATATGATTTTCCCTAACTAAATCACTAAGTTAGGAAGACAAGAAATTCTTGGAAGGTGGTGTTTACAAATGAGATGAGGGCGTGCAAAACAGTGACGTGTGTGCAAAACAGTGACGTGTGTGAAAGGAACACTTTTAGTCTATGTCGTATTACTTTTTATTAAGTGACATATTTATGGAAAATAGTTGAAAATGCCTGTCAAGGGGAGTATTATACCCCCTAATGTACAGTCTTTTCAGGCAAGTCAGACACACACATAAAGAGAATCAACATATTTGCTCAGAAGAGGGACATTTCATCCCCTCTCCTTTTCAGTCAAAGGAAATGCACAGACAGGAGCGGGATCTCTGCCAGAAAAATGAACACCAGTTCCCGAGATCGTGTCCCCACATGGTTAGCAACACAAGACAGTCACGGAGGACACACGAGGACTCCCTCAGGGCACACCGCAGGCCATACTTCCGGCGTATTTTTGTCCTAACGCTTTTGCTAAAGCCATTTCATGGCGTGAATGGCATATTATCAAAAACATACACTGAGAGATAGCTGCAGCAACCTAAGTAAGACCCAGGGACAGTTGAACAACAACAACAACAAAATGTTAAAAGTCCATTTGATTCTCTTTCCCGAAAAAGGCTGGTGAGGTAGTTTATACGGCACATACACACTGTAAGGAATCGGTATTCCAGTTTGTCCAAAGGCCACTGGCTGGAAGAACCATTTCCCAGCCGAGCTGCAGGGCAAAGGACCCTCCTAGGGAGAATGGAGGGGAACAAGGCAGCTGTAGACATCTTCCTGAATATATGTTCCTCCAAGTCATTTCCTTTGCTACTTTCCCGAATGAAATTATTTCCTTACTTGTGTATCCAGAGCAGTTGATGGGTGAGAAGCCAGTACGAATGAACTTTAGTAGCAATGTATCTGGCCTCTTTTGTTGGCGAACATCCCATTTAGTCTAACAGGCTGGCTACTGGACTTTTGAAAACCAACTCTCATTAAGGTCAAAGTTCTTTCAGTACTCAGATGGCAGGTATTTTCAATTTGATCGGAAGGTTATTCTTTCAGAATAAAAATCCGTGAAAGAAACTCGTTGAACACACGGACACCAGTTTGCATGCTGACTAAACCTTCTCTAGTTGATTAACTGTGTGACGAGAAACAAAAAGCATTGCCCCTGATTCTGACATTGCCCTCCACACAATACAGTTATTTGAAAGTTGTCACATTCCTGAATAAGCTGAAGTGATTAATTCCAAGTTACCGATTCAGCCAAGACTTTGCATCTGAAGCCGCACAAAAGTCGGCAGGAAATGCAGAACCTTGCCGCGCGCTACCTGCCATCCACTAGGGCTGACTGAAGCCTGGCCACTAAAGCTAAGGCACAGATTCTAATGTGTTCTCATTTCATCTGAAATGGAAAAGAAATGAACATAGCTGTGCACTTTCTATATAAATACAACAGCATTGGATGCTTCTCCTGCCAAGAAATACAGGAATATGTTCACGTATTTACAGAAACATAGTGGTGCTCTGGAAGGATGCCTGGCTTCCATGCGTAGGCAGGGACTCCTCCAGCGACAGTCCTGGAATCCGGCAGCTCGACAGTGGCATGCTCAGTCCCTGCTCGCCCTGCGGGATGATGATGGCTCACCGCACACACTCATGGGTGCACCGGGCAGCCCGGAAACCGATCAAGCACTGGGACACACACACACCTTAGCAGTACGTACTTGGCTTTTAGTGGCTTTTCAGAGAAAGGAAATAGAAATTCATAAATAAACCCAACAAACTGGTTTTTGTGTTTCTAGAAAAGTAGAGCAAACTCCCGAGGGACAGAAAGACAAGGATCTGCATGCTGAATGCACAGCGTGTTCTGTTTCTACAAGGAGATGACCTGACTGTTGGAGATGGGTGTTTTGTTTCAGTATCAGCCATGACACCAATGGGAGAGCTCTTCTGCACCCGCCTTTACAGTACCCTCATTATCTCCGGACATGGGCTATGCAGGGAAGGAGACAGTCCTTTTGCATTTGTGGGTGAGTTTTGCTTGTACTGGCACTTGGGTCTTAAATGCTGTAACTGCTCTAAGTCCATCAAACTCTTGGTCTGTGGAAGATTACCACACCTGGGATAAACGGGGATGCTCTCTGCAGCCTCTGGAAGGAAGGCAGAGCTGTCCTGTCCCTCGGTACATTTTAGATCTGTTTCTCTTAGAAACACGAGGACTAAGTGTTCACCACTGCAGATCTAGACAAGAGTTGTGCAAGATGTGGCCCAGACAGTGGTCTCCAGCTTCCACGGCCCAGTGCTAGTCCACAGTGACTGGCCACGTGTCTGGTTAACATTAGATCGAAGAACACAATGTACTTTTGCAACTTATCAATTCTGGGTCCAGTGACCTTTTCGGCACTTGTGGGCAAACGCATTTCTGTATTTTTGGTGTTAGGGTTGCAGAAGTGGCTACAGCCGTGAAATGTTGTAAACAAAGAGTGTTTGATCTGCAAAGGACATTCATGCTAACCCATAAGAGGCGATCTATTCACCCGAGCACCACAACTGTGAGAAGAGGGAAAAGATGCCATGACTGTGGACCACACAGGACAAACTAGAAGCACAGGACGCCCTTGCCAAACTGGGATTTGTAATGAGGACCTGTGCGCACGAGACAAGGAACCGTAAAATACCATCTCAACTCTCAACGGAAAGCTCCTTTGCACCAGGGCGCTACCAAATCCTTTCTGAGCGTGATGCATAGAATGACATGGGGCACAGCTGTCTTTAGGCGGAAGGCCCTTCAATCTAGGAGCATAAATAGTGTATGTTTCACATCAGAAGTGCAGCCTATTCCCAGGCACAGGGCCAAGTTTATTTCTGCTACGTAGCTCCACAGTGAGTAACGTTGGCCTTTCTTCTGGGTCATATCTTCTTACCAAGGGACTGTGATAAGAAAGTTCAGTTCAATGTGAACCAGCTCCTTCTCTGCAGTTCATATTGACAGAGCTGGTGACTCTTTCAGGAGAACCAGGATTACAGGAGCTAATACCTCAGGGCAGTGTGGTTTTTCCCACAAATGCAGGAACTTCTTGGCATATAATACAAGGCAAGAGCCATCTTCGGCATATTTTAAAGGCTTGGTGAGGGCTTAATCACCCATTCTGCATGAGGATTAACATGATACACATCCAATATATACGCATCAGGATCCAAACAGTGTTGTCCTAAAAGAAAGAAAACCAAAAATCTCAAACCAGTGAAGTGGTTGCCTTATAAGCATAGGACATGAGTTCTATCCCCAGAATCTGCATTCAAAGGAAGAAAGAAAGAGCAAGGTGTGGAAGTGTGGTAGTATGCCCTTGTAGTCCAAAATAAACGATCTCAGCAAATAAGTAAGGGATATGAGAAAGAATTTAAAAACACAGGAAAGGAACAATTGGGAAATGTGTGATACTGTGAAAATAAAAACAACAAAATTGTGACTTACAGGTATAGAGAGGAATAAGTATAGAGGAAAGAAAATAGGAAACTGTATTATTAAAACACAAAATACCACTGGAATGCAAATAGCAACACCAAAAAATCAAAACACCATTGATGACTGCAAACAACAGCTAGGATGGAATGATAACTCTAAGGGTGCAGTAATGGCACACACCTGGTGCAGGAGAATTATCTGTATTCTGTCAATCATATTTTAATAAAACGCTGATTGGCCAGGCAGGCAGTATAGGCGGGAAAGCCAGACAGGAAGTAGGGGTGGAGCAAAGAGACTGGGAGTATTCTGGAAGCAGAGCTCCCTCAGCATTCCTGTGCAGATCACTGAAGAGGCAGCATGTAACCTGCCCAGCTGAGAAAGGTACGGAGCCATGTGCTAACATAGATAAGGATAATGGGGTAACATAAGTTATAAGAGTTAACAAGAAGCCTGACCTAATGGGCCAATCAGTTTATAACCTTATGGAGTCCTGTGTGTAATTTCTGTTTGGGATTTGCCGGCTGTTGGGGTACCGGGCGGGACAGAAACCCCAACAAGCTGGCCCTCATGCTATATATGGCGCCCAGACGTGGATAACTGAATCCACAGAAAGCCTGATAAAGCTTGAAAGAATAGAGTAAAGCATGTTTTGTTGGTAGCAGCAATTTCTCGGGTCTACTTTGCTTGCTAGAGGCAAGCAAGGCTCTCATCTAAGAGAGGCTTCCTGACTCAGCTTTAGCTGCAAAACCTTGCAGCTCATTAAGAGGTCCTGCCACGAAACACTTAAACGTTGATGAAAAGCTGAACGCACGCTTTTCGGTTTTCAGCCAAAGCAGGAAAAAAGCTGTGCTGCTTTAAAATGCCGGCTTTCTGGGCTGTCCTGTCAGGGCAATCTCTGACTCTTTCAGACAGGCAGTCCTACTAAGTGTGGTCTGTGAGCAGAATGCTCCAGCTTACTTGCTAACAAGGACCTTGAAACGCCATAGAGTTGTGGCAACAAAAATGGCTACAGCCAGTACCTCCGTAGAGGCTGGAAAGTTAAGGATCTAGCCTTCAAAGCCACGGCTTTCCGTATTGCTTTGTAAATTAAAGGCTCATGTGGTCAAAAGAGAGAGAGATACAGTAAAGAGAGATTCAAAGAGAAAGAAAACCTCTAAATGGTTTACAATATGTTAAAAATATATGCAGGTTTAAAGTTAAAGTTCTTAAAGTTAAAAGGAAAGAAAGAGAGTAGTTGGGTGTGATGGTACACACCTTTAATCCCAATGCCTGGGAGACAGAGGCATATTGACCTCTGTGACTTCAAGGGGCAGAGGTAGATTGACCTCTGTGACCTCAAGGTGTGGTAGAACACACCTTTAATCCCAATGCCTGGGAGGCAGAGACAGATCTCTGTGAGTTCAAGGTGTGGTAGCATACGCCTTTAATCCCAGCACTGGGGAGGCAGAGACAGGCGGATCTCTGTGAGTTCAAGGACGGCCTGCTCTACAGAGTTATTCCAGGACAAAGATATATACAGAGAACCTGTCTCAAAAAGCCAAAAGTTAAAAGTAAAATTAAAAGAAATAGAGGTTGAAATAAAGCCGCATAAAGATGGAAAATACACAGAGAATCTTGATACTGTATGCTATTATGCTCTCTTTAAATTGTTTGAATGCTGAGGAAGGAAAAACAGCTGCTAAAAGACTTTTGTTTATAAATGCTGCAGAATTAATCCAAGATAGACATTTTGAAAATACCTTGGCTTCAAAACTGAAGTCAAAAGGTATGTTACTTTGGAGAAGAGATTTTGCTTTTGTTTCCACAGAAAATGAGAGGCTATGGATTCATTCTGAATTAAGAAAAATCAGTTTTGATCAAGGGAGGCCACCTGAAAAATCTCTGACAGGAACAGATGGCCCAGATGTCTAAATTCTACATCCAAAACAGATTCAAGACTGTCGCCTGAGATGATCGAGACTCACAGGATACTCCAGTCAGGACTTGAATTATAACTCTAAGTTTTCTTTAGGTCCCCATAAGATCATCAGCGCCCCCAACCAGCAGGAAGTAGCCTGAAATACTACGCCCACATTCCCAACAAATGGACTATGGGTATTTTTCTTTGTTTAAAAAAAAAGAGGGAAATGGTGCAGGAGAATTATCTGTATTCTGTCAATCATATTTTAATAAAACGCTGATTGGCCAGGCAGGCAGTATAGGCGGGAAAGCCAGACAGGAAGTAGGGGTGGAGCAAAGAGACTGGGAGTATTCTGGAAGCAGAGCTCCCTCAGCATTCCTGTGCAGATCACTGAAGAGGCAGCATGTAACCTGCCCAGCTGAGAAAGGTACGGAGCCATGTGCTAACATAGATAAGGATAATGGGGTAACATAAGTTATAAGAGTTAACAAGAAGCCTGACCTAATGGGCCAATCAGTTTATAACCTTATGGAGTCCTGTGTGTAATTTCTGTTTGGGATTTGCCGGCTGTTGGGGTACCGGGCGGGACAAAAACCCCAACAAGCTGGCCCTCATGCTATACACACCTCTTAGCCGTAACCAATGACTCTCTGCTCAGTAAGAGGTAAAGTATTTCTGGTACTAGAAATCTAGCCAACTCCCTAGAGAGCTAGTTAAATCATGGATCATGAAGGAGAAGCTACAACTACCACTTGACTAAACCGACACAATCCCTAACTTCATTCAATATTTATTTTTATAACCACAGGTAGGTAAGTGTAGTCCTCACCCTCACTGAGGAAATCTCTCTTTGCAACAGATTGAGGCCATTACAGAAAACACTGTAGAGCCTTTACTTACCTACCACCCTACACTCCCACACCTAATGCTCAGGGAATATTGTGGAGGACAGGGCAGAAAGTTTCTAAGAGCCAGGGAATCATGGAGTCTCATGTGAGACTGTGCCTCCTGGTAATGCCCGAAGCCATATCCATAAAGTCTCGACAACGTGACTGCCTAATCATGAGCTAAACACAGACAACAAAAGAGGTATGTAAAATTCATGGTGGAAAGAACACAAGGCCTCAGCACAACTACAGGCAGCCATGAAATGCTGATATTGAGAGTGAGATCATACCAAGTGGATATCCCAAACCTAACGGGAAGCCCTGGAAATGTACATACAAGTGACACTATGCAGATTGAGCAGGGTATATTTAGGTATATATCTTTATATACATAAATTCATATAACAATAATTAGTGAAAAGAGGCCATGAATTTGAAAGAGGATAGGGAGAAGTGTTATGGAAGGGTTTGGAGGGAGGAAAGGAACGGGGAAATGATGTAATTACAATCTCAAAAAAGTTTAAAGGGAACAAGAACGGACTTTTTTTTTTTTTTTGCTTTCTATTGAAGTAACAGGCACAATTCTAGTGTCAAAAATTTCCCCTGTGGATATTTAGATAGTAAGCAAATATGTGCAAAATAAAATAAGTCTTAACAATAGGAATATTAGGAGAAAACAAAGAAAGGAGGTTGCATAATGTTGGAAGGCATCACCAAGAGGGTGGCATGGAGAGTCAAGTAGGAGATGAGGGCATCTGGAGCAAGAGCATTCTAGAAGTCAGCCAGTGGCACGCCCAGCAGTGTGCCAGGTGACTGGGTGCATAAGTGCAGGACCCAGAGGGTAGACTGGGAGGCAGGCAGGTGGAGAGAAAGCAATGAGAGAACTGAGTTAATCTAGGAAGGTGTGTGTACACACCCAGACTTCCAAGGACTATGCTCACAAGAGCCAAGAAGCAGCCGAGACTCCGAGACGCAGGAAGAAGCTCAGAAACTCATCTGTCCTCAGCAGCGAACAGAGACAAGTGTTTTCAGACAGGAAAGCCCAAGTCAGGCAATTACTAAGACACAAACAGTGACGGCATTTCAGTGTGCGCTCTCCAGGGTCCTGGGTGAGAGGGCGACTTTGGTGAGGTGTTGAGGGGGACCCTTGGGTAGAGTGTTTTCAAGAGAGAAGAAACTGGAAGAAGGAATGTAAAACAGACAGCTGACTGAAGGTGTGTTGTGAAGTGGAAGGAGGTGGAGAAAAAAAAGTGGGAGTAACCTGAAGGTGTCAGGAGTTTTCTAGAGAGGACAGGAATAGGGTTTGTGTGTGTGTGTGTGTATCTGAGATACAAGCTCACTGTATGTCCCAAGGTGTTCTGAAACTCATCATCCTTCAGAGTTCTAACTGCTGCACTGCTGAGATTGCTAGCTTAGCTATATGGCGCATGAGGTGAGAGGTGCTGTTGGCATGGCTACCTGCTTAATCCCGCCCTGTCATTGGCCACAAGTCTCTCCCCTTAGGAGAAGTCAGGTTTCGTTTCTGTGTTGTGAGAATTGAATGCATTCCCTCTTCAGCCCGGGTTAAGTACGAAGGTTTCTTGGTCCTTTGAGAACCATTTTAGGTGGGATTGATGCTGATGGGAGGGAAAAGGTTACGGTGCAGGGGTAAACTGAGGTACAGGTAGAGCAAGGCTCTGATTGGGCGGCACAGGACATCCCTGAGAAGGTCAGAGAAACACTGTCCACGGATAAAACAGAATGCAGGAACACGTCAGCCACAGAAGATGCAGATGGAGGCACGAGGAATGGCCTTTGACCTCATCAGGCAACAGAATGACCTTGTGCTAAGAGCCAGCACAGGGCGTCATGTTCTCTAGGTTCTCAACTCTGTTCGGTTCTGTGAGCCCAGCAAGAGGCGGTTTCTAACTTTAAGAGTCACACTGCAAAGGACCCAAAGTCTTTATCTCACTTCAATTTTGAGAATATTGGAGAAAAAAAAATCATGAAACTGCTTTTACGTGGAACTATAAAACCCCCAGCCATTGTTGATTTTCATTTTTATCTATAAAACGTGTGGGAAAAAACACACCCCTACAACAATAGCAACGTATCATGGAATGATGCTTACCTATGTTTCCTCCAACTTCATATAACCTCTGGTTCTGCATCTTTATACATTCAGATGAACCATGACTAAAAACAGAGAAGGCAACAGTTGAGGTTCCTTTAGGGTCCACAGTGAATATCGACAAGTCATCCTATCTTGACGAAACATACGCCACACACTTTATTATGACCAAAGTCACGACAGCAGCAGCAAGAACTTTCGTCTATGGGGACTGAGACGGTTCCTGGTCATAGGATGCTCAGTGGCCATGGCAACAGAGAACACACACATTCTAGCTGAGAACGTCAGCACCGCCGGAGAGCAGTGGTGACAGCACGGCGGCTGACTGTTTAACGCTGCCCCGTCTCCGGCCACAGTTCTCTCCATTCAAAAGAAGCCACGTTAATTTCCGTGTTTGCCGAGGCTGCACGCATTCCCTCTTCAGACTGGGTTACACCTCTAGACTTCCTAAGTGCTTTAAAAAAATACCTTAAAAATCACCTCAGTTACCTAAAGGTTATTTCTTTCCCAGTCTGTCACACAATAAAAAGTCAGAGAAAGCAATCATCACCCAAGTCAACTTTTCTATCCCAAGTTTAGAAGACTGGGATAAGAGAATTCAAAAGGTCTGTGCCAATCAACGATTCAAGACCAGTCTTAACTCTGTTGAGGAGAGGTGGGAGCTTGCCCCTCCGCCATTCTTAGTACTTTTTATTTGTAGTGAGACAGTCTTGAGGTAATTGTGAACTGGACATCATTTTTAGGAATAGCACATGTGTACCCTATGTATCCTTCAGAGTTCCTACTATGAAGTGGAACTACTAATAGCAGCACCTTGGGAAACTGGAATGGAATTCCAGGGAGAGAATGTTGAGACTGATTCAGGCAAAACACCCACTTCTCTATCACCCAGGACACCCACTGCTGCCCTCTTCTGGCAGGCTTTACCGTTCCATCCTTACTACATCTGAGCCTGATTCCCCACCCTGGGATCCGGCATGGTCTAGTCACTTATTCCTTGAAAGGTATCTAGGGCTTATCTGGTTTTGTTTCAACAAAGCCGCTCTGGGTTGTGTTGATGTCTTCAAATCTGGGGGATGATGTCCAGGAGTAGGGATGCCATGCTATATTGTTATTTAGTTTGTTATTAACAAACTGCCAAACTACCCCATCTTGCCCACACAGATAATGGGTGATTGCCACAACTTCCCTACGTCTTTGCAGTATTTGGTACTGCCAGGCATGGCTTGAGAATCCTCATGGGTATACCATGACAAGCCACTGTGTTTTTAATTTGCATTTCCTTAGTGGCTAATGATGGACATCTTTCCATGCATGTATTTCTCGACCATCTTTCTCCTGTGGTCTAATCTATACGCTGGGTTTGGAGTGTCCCACAAAGGTCCATGTGTGTGAGGCTTGTATACCCCTCAGAGGGGTGGTGCCTAGCGTCAGCATTGAGATCCTGGAGGCGTGCTCTCAGAAGAGAATGTGTGACTTCCTCTTTTCCCTTCAAGGCCAGTAGCAGAGCAGTTCTGCTCCACTGAACATCTCCACTGGGATGGGCTGCCTTGCCGCAGGTCAAAGGGCACCAGGATCAACTGATTATGAACTGAGCACTCCACAGCGGAATCGAAGGAGACCTGTGCTCTTTCAGACATTGTGACGGGGCAGAGGCTGCCTTTGGCAAAACGCCTGCTCCTGCTCTCCCCGCCTCCCAGCTGCATGGGCTGGCCCTTCCTGTGAGGAGCAAGTGCCTCAGTTGTCTACTTTTAGCTGTTTTCTCGCCCTATTCACAGGTCCTCTTATTCCACCAGCTTTCAGTTTGCTGAGGTCTAACTCATCAGTTCTATCTCATACGCTGCTGGGGTTAAGCCTGGGGAACTCATCACTTGTCCGGTCATAAAGATCGTCTCCTTTTATCAAAGCTTTTACGTTTCTCATTATACATTTAGGTCCCTGGCCCATTCTGAATTAGTTTTTAAATAATGAGATTAAGATTAAAATTATTTTTCTTCCTGGCCCATGGAGCTCCAGCCACTGTAGCATCCTTTATTGTAAAGTTATTCTTTCTCCACTGACTGCTTTGATATTTTTGAAGCAATTTGCTTCAAAAACAGACAAATTCACGGTACAAGAGTCTAGCAGCCGACAGGGCACCTTTAACTACAACTCACAATGTTTACAGTTGTTTACCGGTGTGTGATTTATGCGTGTGGACCCGCATGTGCCACGGCCTGTGTAGGAAAGGGGTTCTTTCCTTCCACCGTGTGTGTGCTGGTGTCTGAATTCGGCTGCCAGGCTTGGTGGCAAGCCCTTGTGCCTCCTGAGCCCTTTCGTCCCCTCCAGATTACAGCTTTTAAACTGCGGTACTCACAGGTCTAAGTGAGAGGCTGGGCAGCTCGGATCTACTGAAGTTGTGTCTACAACTTTGAGTCTACAGTCACCAGACCTAACCTATGTTGATTAGGAATACTGTCTGTATAAACTATTACGTTTCCTCATTTGTGGAAAGGCTGCGTGTGCCACGGTGTGACAGGGAGTCAGATGACAATTTGTGGGCCCTTCCTACCATGTGTGTCCTGGGTATCGAACTCAGGTCGTCAACCTTGGCAGCAAACACCTGTAGCCCACTAAGCCATCTCACTGGACCAGAGCATTTTCTTTCTACAAAGGTCCAATTGAGGATTTTGTAACCTATTAAATAACATAGGAATTAACCAGCTGCCAACATCCTTGCAATAAGATGTCAAGTTTATATATAGCCACCTACCTATGATAACTACGGTATTTTAAGATGCCTGGTACAGCAATAGAGTTACATGGCTTTCCTTTCTAATGCAATTTTTTTGAAGAAAACTTTTTAACATTGTATCTATGTACAGAAAACTTAGCAGTGTACGTTTAACTCAGTTCAGTGACGAGTCCTTTGCCCTTTGCCTTTTCCAGCTTGGCAATGTGAGCCACAGATTTAGGACCCAGGACGTTGCCTCCTCAGTGGCGGCGAATCTCATCATATCTGTCACGGTAATTGGTCCTAACAGCTTCCACCAGTTTGGCCAGAGCATCCTTGTCTTCTGAGCTAACCTCTGTGAAGGAAGCAGTGGTGGACGTCTTCCTGTGGACCAGCCGCCCCAGCCTGGCCTTTTCCTTGATGATGCAGCAGGGGATGCCCCACCTTCTGACACAGGGCAGGCAGGAAGATCACCAGCTCAATGGGGCCTCTGTCATGGACAATCGTCACCAGCTGAGTCTTTCTGTTCTCCATGAAGGTGGTGACTGTATTGATCCCGCTTGAAGGAGAGGTGGTCTCTTAGTCAGGACATCCCCTTTGCCAACAGTTTTCTTCTCAGCACGGGCAGCAGCCTTTGCTTCTTCTCCTGCTTCTTCTCTGGCCTGTCCTTGCGGGCATGCTCAAGCAGCTGGGGAGCTGTTTGCCGGTCTAGGGCCTGGGCGAACTGGTTAATGGCAGGAGGTACTTTGAGTCGCTTATAGAGGGTGGCCCTTTATATAGTTGATATAGCTGGCCCCTCGATGAAGTGTGTGAGATCTCTTTTGGACTGATGTCCTATCCAATGCCAAAGTTCCTAGGCCTTGTCTCAAAAGGAGGATTCACCACCTTTTTGACCTCCTGTTTCTTTACAAGGGTAGGGGGCAGGGACTGGAGCTATCTTTTCCCCTTTGGCTTTCTCTCCTTTGGGCATCTAACTTAGCTGGAGTTTAATGCATTTTTTTAAGTGTATGTGTATGTGTGTGTGTGTATTCGTGTGTGCACACACCTACATATAAAGCTTATGAATCACAAGTTTGTAACTTGAAGGATGTGCAAAATGAACACACAGATGACCAGCCCTCATGGTTAATAAAATAACTCACTAGTAGCCAATGGCATGCTTTTCCATCCCAATGTCTCCTACTTCCCCAAAACCTGAAAATTCAGCCTGATGTCTACCATTATAGCCTGCTTCTGGCTTCTGCTGTTTCTATCGTCATTGAAGTAATTAGAGCTTTACAGATAGTTGTGAAAGATAATAGGAGTTCTTTGTGCCCATTTGACCTGTGGCAACATTTTGCAAAACTATAATATCATGCCCCAATCAGGATCTCAAAATCTATCTGGCATATTGAGACACAATGATACTCACGCTCACAGTGCACTAAGTTCAACGTCCTGCCAGAGGGGCCTGCGAACCCAGCCCAGCCCAGTCAAGGTGCAGGACCAGAGTTCTACCACTGTAGGCATCCTTCAGGTGCTCCTTTATAACCACGCCCATCTTCCCAACCAGTATCACTAACTCACCCTCCACTGATAACATCTGTCATTCCAAAGCTGTTAGTGAGTAAAATTATGCAGCATGCACACTCTCGCAGAGAGCTCTCTTGACTAAACAGGGCTACTGCTGTTGAATTTGCTCCAAATGCTTAAGGATGTACATGAGTTTCACTAACGCCCTTTTATGGTCACCTCTGGAGACACATGATGAAAGCTGGGAATGACTGCTCGCAGGCTTTAAAAGGGGCAGTGATGGTGTCCGGGGAGCCTACCCGATACTTCCGGAAACTGATCAAGATACTGACAAAACTAACTGTCAAATTTTTATCCTAATAAAAGATGAAATTAATTGATCAAATAACCTATCACGAGAAGAATCACAGGGGCTAGAGAGGACGCAGCCATTAGGAAGGCTTGCCCATCTTTCAGTAAATTGAGTTCAATTCCCAGCACCCACATTAGACGGCTCAGTGATGTGGGAGAATTGTCTGTATTCTGTCAATCACATTTTAATAAAACGCTGATTGGCCAGGCAGGCAGTATAGGCGGGAAAGCAGACAGGAAGTAGAGGTGAAGCAAAGAGATTGGGAGTATTCTGGGAAGCAGGAAGCTCCCTCAGCCACTCCTGCGCAGACCACAGAAGAGGCAGCATGTAACCTGCACAGCTGAGAAAGGTACTGAGCCGTGTGGCTAACGTAGATAAGGATAATGGGGTAACATAAGTTATAAGAGCTAATAAGTAGCCTGACCTAATGGGCCAATCAGTTTATAATCTTATGGAGTCCTGTGTGTTATTTTCCTTGGGACTTGCCGGCTGTGGAGTACTGGGTGGGACAGAAACCCCAACAAGCCAGCCCTCATGCTACAGCTCACAACTGCCTGTAACTTCAGCCCCAAGGGACCCAACAGGGCCTCTACGGGCACTTCATACATGGCAGATACATATATGCATGAATAAAAGTTGAAAATACATCTTAATAAGAGAATCCTATGTGTACCAAGTCCTTTAGAAGCTGGTCTGTCGGTGATAATCCTGTTGTGTAACTAGCCACAGCTTTTAACGCCTGTAATCTCTTTGTCAAATCCAAAGCAAGAGCTGCATTGTTCAGAAGCCACAGCGGCAGGGGTGCAGCGGCCCACCTGGGAAGCGCATCTTCGCACGGTACCTTCAGCTTGGCGCACTTACCTGTTCTCGTACTGAAATTTCGCCAGGATGTCTTTGGCTTTGGTCTGACTGTTGAGCTGAATGGCCATCGACACTTTGGACAGAAGTGGAGCGTGGACCCTGATGACGCCTTCTGGCACATCAGACTGCCAGGGAGGAAAGACCAAAGCACTGTCAAAGGAGGGCTCAATCATCACATGCGAGAGATGAAAACCAGGGACATTCAGAAGAGGAAAACACATATGTATGACCAGCACTCAACCAGAGCGGAGCATGTCATCCCTGATTTCCCAGGAGACTGACCCATCTGTCCCGGGAGTCTACTCTCTTTACACCTAGGCCTCACTCAAGTGCTCTGGCATCATAGAGAAGAAAATGTGGATTCTGATAAATAATCATATCTATCAGTATCTTTATTGAACAATATCCTAAAAACCTTACTTTCATTAATATACATATACGTATACACACACGCATATTCAGTGAAATATATATCATTATCTTCAATGAACAATATATGTGTGTATATGTATATATAATCTAATGATATTTATCAGTGTCTATATATATATATATATCAGTATCCTTATTGAAGAACATCCTAAAAATCCTCCTTTAATTAATTAATATATATGTATATATATACATACACACGTATCTAGTGAAATATATATATGTATATATATATATATCCCTGCATCGTCAATGAATATATGTGTGTGTATGTACACATATAAAAATCAGTAATATCTTTGTTGAACAATATCCTAAAAACCTTACTTTAAGATGTATACATACATACACACATATCATATGGTCTAGAACACTATGTTAATTGGTCTCTTGAAGTAATATATTGAAGTATTAACCCACAAAAGCCCAGAATGTCCCTTATTTCAAAATAAGGTCAAGAGTAGAGTAATAAGTAAAGTTGGAGATAAACCAAACTATCTTACTCTGGTAAGAACCGTGTCCTAAGGAGAAGAGAAGAGACCCATGACACAAGGAAAAACACCCTTGGAAGACATCTGTGGAGACTGAGGACACACAGTGAGACACCACAGGAAGACGGTGTGGAGACAGGAGACACACAGTGAGACACCACAGGAAGATGGTGTGGAGACAGGAGACATACAGTGAGACATCACAGGAAGACGGTGTGGAGACAGGAGACACACAGTGAGACATCACAG